ATAAACTCTTTAATCTTAATTACTCATGATTTTACACTGTTCTTTTTTGCTTGTGCTTTCAGGGCATATGCTATTTCATAGAAAGGTAATGTTTTTATTTTTATTTTTTTGGCAGACTAGCATTCTTTGGACCTTTACTAAATTAGAACTTTTTTTTGAGAGAGATGTTTTTGCTATAGGGTACGTATACTTGCCAGAGAGCCAGAGAGAGACAGACAGAAAGTGGGAAATCACCCCCCTGGGGGGAATGGCCATGCCACAATCCCTTCTCCTCTATTCTTCTCTTGGGGAGTTTGGGCAGGCATGCACATGCTCCTGGTGTGAATTTTAAGCCACCAGGTCTAGGACTCTAACTGTGGTTGACTGTGGAAGTCCAGCAATGCAACCATTATGCCATCTGCTGGTTCCAAATTAGAATATTTTAACAATAGTGTGCTTACTTGATTGAATTTCAGTCTCTCTGGTTTTAAAAAATATTTTCTTTCCTGTTTTGCAGTAATGTTTCAGACAATTGTAATGTCTGGATTTCTTATCTTTAAGATAAGTAAGACATTACCTAGAAGAAGGAGAATTATTCTTCAGGAACTAAATTAGATTGAAAATAACTGTAGTTGTCTGTGATGAAATGTTGTTTTTTTCCTTAGGGTCATTAATGAGAGAAAGGTATAGTACATATACTTTATTGGATGCCAGTTTATTTGAAAGCCTTGGCATAGAGGGAGAAGTAAAATGAAGCAGAAGATGTACATACTTAAAGAACTACTGAAATGCTTTGTGTTGTTATATGTTCCAGATCTAAATCACAGGTAGTCTAGTACTTACTTCACATTGGCTCCACATTTTGTCTTTTAAATTTATGCATTCGTTGTTGTTGTAGAGTGGGTGCACTCACCTGAGAGAGACAGATAAATGGGGAGAGAAAGGGAAATTGAGAAATGAGTCCCCAGGGAGGAAGACCATGCTGCAATCTCTTCCATTCTTCTCTCAAGATTTTGGGCATGTGTGCATGTGCACTCAGCAGGTTTTCTTTATTTATATATTAACTTACGAGAGAGAGAGAGAGAGAGAGAGAGAGAGAGAAGGAAAGTGAGAAAGCAAGCTACCTGGTTTGGGACTCAAAGCATGGTTAGCATGTGGGAGTCTAGTACCTTAACCACCATGCTACCTGCTAGCCTTGCGGCCGGCATAATTTTTAAGCCATTAGTATTGGGACTCGAACTGCGAAGTGAGGCATGTCGGATCCAGCCTTCTTAACCTCCACACCATGTAACGTTACACATTCTGTATCTGCCTTTCTTAACCAAGTATTTCGCTTATGCTAGCTAGTATACTAGTAGTCTTTGTGGTTCCCTTACATCCTACCTACCTTTAATAAATACAGTAGTGCTTCCACTTATCTGCAATTTTACTTTCCATGGTTTTGGTCAACTGTGGCCTGAAAAAGGTAAGTGAAAAATTCTAGAAATAAACATTTCATAAGTTTTAAATTGCATGGCATGAGTACTATGATGAAATCTCATAAAGTCCTCCCCTGTCTGCTTAGGATGTGAATCATCCCTTTGTCCAGTGTATCCACACTATATGTGCTGCCCATTCATTATTCACTTTATGTAGTAGTCATTTAGACCATCAGATTGACTGTCATGTGTTATCTCCATCACAGTTTTGAGTTTAACCTTTATGTTACTTAATAATGGCCCCAAAGCATAAGGGTAATAATGCTGGCTTATTAAAATTGTTATTTTGTTTTGTTTTTAATTGCTAGAGGGTGCACACACATGCTAGAGAGACAGACATCCTTTCTCTCATGGTGTGTGGTCATGCTACATTCGGCTTTCCTCCATTTTTCCATCTCTTTGGGATTTTGGGTAGGCATGAAGCACACACAGCTGGTGTGTTTTTCAAGCTACTGGGGCAGGAGTTGCCCCATGGTTGGCCATGTGAGATGCAGCTCTCTTAACCTCTAGGCCGCAAGTCTGACCCAATTGTTCTATTTTTTATTAGTTATTGTTCACCTCTTACCATGCCTAATTTATAAACTAAACTTTATCATATATATGCATATATAGACAAAAACATAATATATGTGTGGTTTGAAATTATTTGCAGTTTCAGGCTTCTACTGGGAGTCCCCCATAGATACGAGGGGAATTAGTGTAGTCCAGTTGTAAGTAAACTTTCCTTAAATTAGGGCAGTTTGTAATCTGTGGGGATCTGACTGACGCACAGTGGCCATAGTCTATCCAGTCCAGTTTTTTCAAAGCCAGCATGCCATGGCCATGTTATCAGTGTGTTCACTTCCTGGCTGCAGTGTATACCATACCACTGCGCTCATTCACGGTGTTAGATCCTTCGTATTTTCAAATGATCTCTTTTATCCATGTCCTTTTTATGTTGTGTGGATTCCAAATAGGGATCCAAGCTCCGTTTTCTCTCTTTACAATTTAAAACACTAATGTAGAAATCTCCAGAGAACTGAACTAAGCAGTGTGGAATATGCCTATTTTCTAAACTCGTTAGCACTAAATACCTTCAGACCAACACAAGCTATGTTACTTAACCCAAGAAGTTCTGCTAGTGCGTCCAGTTCGAAAAGAGGCATACCTCAGACTTTGAGAAGAGGAGGGATCTGTTCGGTTGTAAGGGAAAGGAACCTTTTATAGCAGGGATCCCTAAACCCTGGGTCATGGACTATTACTGGTCTGTGGCCTATTAGAGATGGGGCCACACAGCAGAAAGTGAGCAGCAAGTAAGTGACCAAAGCTCGCTTCATATATATTCACCACTGCTCCCCATTGCTTGCATTACTGCCTGAGCTCCTCCTCCTGTCAGATCAGTATCGGCATTAGATTCTCATAGAACTGTAAGTCCTGTTATGACCTGTGCATGTGAGGGATCGCAGTTGCACACTCCTTATAAGAATCTAATGCTTGAGTATCTGAGGTGGAGCTGAGGTGGTAATGCTAGCACGGAATGGCTCTAAATACTGCATTGTGGTGAGTTGTGTAATTCTTTCATTATATATTACAATGTAATAATAATGGACATAAAGTAAGCAATACATGTAATGCACCTGAATCATCCTGATCCCCCCACCCACCCCCCCATTTCCTGTGGGAAAATTTTTTTCCATGAAACTAGTACCTGGTGCCAAAATGGTTGAGGACTGCTGTTTTATAGAGTAACAAACAGGAAGGAGGTATGGAGTGTTGCTGGTCGGAGTTCTGAAAGTAAGCTCATATAATAACAGTACTGAGTTTTCCTGCTTAGGCCAGTTCTAGCTGGTTATAGCAATAAGGGCTGCTGTGTTTGTCTCACTAGCCTAAAGGTCAGATACTTATCTTTGATCCTGTCACACTCTGGTACCGTGGAAAGAAGAGAAAAGAGCTGTACCCATGTATAATGATCTTTTACCATATCTACTCCTTTTTATGTGAGGCTAAAGAGGGACATAAGGAGAGGGCAGGAGACAAGTTTAAACTACTCTTAGAGGTAGCACAATATATAATTGATTTAATTATTTAAAAATATTGATTTATCCTCTGTTATTAATAAGGTTGCATCTAAAGTCTTCACATGACAGTCAGGGTCTTTCCATTTTCCATCTCTGATTTCTTTGCATTTCTTTTCTCAATTCTGTGACAACAATGGTTTATCATTATCACCAAACATTCACTTTCTTGCCTCTCATTTTTTTTTTTTTTTTGGAGAGATTTTCACTGTAGGGCGCGTGCGCTCGCCAGACAGACAGAGAGAGACATAGAGACAGAAAGCGAGAAATCACCCCCCAGGGGGTATGGTCACACCACAATCCCTTCTCCATTCTCCTCTCGGGATCTTGGGCACGCACGCACACGCGCCCAGCGTGAGTTTTAAGCCACTGGGTCCGGGACACGGACCGCGGTCGACTACGTGGGAGTCCAGTGACATAGCCATTATGCTAACTGCTGGTTCCCTTGCCTCTCTTCATTTGCTTGTATTTCCCTGCTCTCTGCCTGAAATATCTATGCTGTCAGAGGAGCAAAATTTTATTTTTAGTTCAGTTCATCTCTTACCTCCTTTGTGAAGCATTAGCGTTAACATAATTAGTGTCCCATTCTCAGGATGCTGAAACACTTTGTATTTACCTCTTTTAGAAACTATGCATTATTACATTTTGTGTGTATACCTGGACTTGTCTGTGTTTACTGGCTTGAGAGCTTGAAGGAAGGTATCATATTGGAATGATCTTTTTAAAAACTGGTTATTGCCATCATGCTTTGTGTGGTGTAGACTCTTGCTAAAGGCATGTTAAATGAATGAATGTGAAAGAAATAACTAACTTGGTAAGAATTGCTGAAGCTCTCTTTGGTGCCATGAATCTGCTTTTACTTCTTAGACCTTTGTGTTAAAGTCTAGCACTAATAGTAGAATGTTTAACATGAGAATAAAGGGGTCTCATTTTTACATCCTTGCTGCTTTGTATTTGTTTATCTTATTTGGTGTTTAAAGTAAGTTTCTAACCAAAAATGTTATACAGATATAAGAAGTAAAGAAAATATATTATTTTCTTAGGGAATTTAAATCTATTTATTCTTATATAGCTTGAAGAATATATCAACTATTCAAATATTTTGTCTTAAAGCTTTTTTCTTTCTTTTTTTTTTTTTAAGAGAGATTTTTGCTATAGGGCGTGAGTGCTTGCTGGAGAGAGAGAAACAGAAAGACAGAAAGTGAGACCCCCCCCCCCCCGGGGGGGGGGCCCACTTGAAACCCCTTCCCCATTCTCCTTTTGGGATTTTGGGCACACATTCACACGTGTCTGGTGTGAGTTTTAAGCCACTGGGTCTGGGACTCAAACCGCAGTTAGCCCTGTGGGAGTCCTGTGATGTAACTATTATGCCATCTACTTGTTCCTTGTCTTAAAGCTTCATCATAATTTGAATTTTGTTTGTGCAAGAAATAACTCAAATTTGCATCATAGTCATTGGGAAATTAATTAATGTGCTCTTTTCTTTCAGCTAAACCATTTACTTCTAAAGTGAAACAAATGCGATTACATAGAGAAGACTTTGAAATATTAAAAGTGATTGGTCGAGGAGCTTTTGGAGAGGTAAGGGATTAATATTTTATGGCAGATCTGCTAATTGTTTTGGAAAAAGCTATATTTTTGCAATTTTGAGGGAAATTTACTGAAATATTGCTTATTTGCTGTTGTGATAGAGTTTATCAGAAAGGATATTAAAGTTTTCAATGATATAGTTCTACATGGAATTTTTTCTAAAATGTTTTATGTTTTCACATGAACTTTCTATGATCAATGTGAGCATACTTTTGGACTCGCTTTTTGTTCCATTGATTTATTTGTCTTTCCCTGTACTACTAATACTACACTCTTAAATTATTCTATTAATGGTTTATAGGAAGTCTTGATATCTATAATAGTAGTGTATGTACTCTGGCAGTACCTCACATTTTTTATCCCTTTGTGTTTTCATCCTATTTTAGAATTAGTTCTTCAGTTTCTACTCATTCATATACATATGCACACACACACCCCTGCTGGAATTTGGATTTTGATTGCATTGAAACTGGTGATCAATTTGCAGATATTGAAATCTTACCAATGTTGAGTCATCTAATCCATATTCATGATGTATGCCTCCATTTACTTAGGGCTGTAAATTTCTATTGGTAATGTTTTATGGTTTTCATTCAGGATAGAGGATTTCCATATCTCTCCACAGAGTTAGACCTAGATATGTGATATTACTGTTGATGCTATTTTAATTTGAATTTGTAAAATTTTACTTTCTAATTATTTTCTTGGTAGTAGTTAGAAATATAATTGTGTTTTGTTGACCTCATACCCAGCAGTCTTGCTAATTATACTTGAAAAATAATGAATTGTGTTTAATTTTAATAAAATGCTGTATTAGCATCTTTTGAGACATGATTTTTTTCCTTTAATTTGTTAACATATTGAATTACAATGATTTATTTTCAAATATTTAACTTTGCATTTCTCAAATGAGGCCAACTGGATTGTCACTTTTTTTTTTTTAAATGTATGAATAGATTCAATGTGCTATTTTCTTCTTCCTCTTTTCTTCTAATTTTTCTTTTTTAGCACCTTTTTACCTGTGCTCTTGAAACAAGTTAGCCTGAAAATTTACTGTTTGCAATGTTCTGATGAGATTTTGGTATCTTTGTTATCCTGTTCTCATAAAAAGAGGGAAGTGTGCCCTCTTTTACTGTTCTCTAGAAGAATTTGTGATGACTGTTATTATTTTTTCCTTATATACCTGCAGAATATCACTTGTGAAGCCATCTGAACTTAGAGGTTGCTAGTGAGAAAGCTTTAATAAAATTTACTTTCTTTAATGGAGCTACAACTTCTTAGATTTTCTATTAATGTGTCAATTTGCTAGATTTACTCATATCATTTAAGTTTTCAAACTTAAACCATATTGATTGTTTATCTCTCTTATTTTTAAAAAATTATCTTACTAGAGGTTTACCAATTTTATTATCTTTTCAATGAATTAACTTTTGGTCTTTTGAATTTTGCTGATTAAATTTTTTTGTTATGTTAATTTTTGTTCTTTAATATTTCCTTCCTTCTCTCTTTGGTTTTAACTTGCTATTATCTTTCTAATTTATTGAAATACATACTTAGAGTATTGATTTCTAGCTTTTTTCTTTTTCCTTATTTTCTGTTTGCTTTTTTTATTTTTAAAGAGAGATTTTTGCAATAGGGCAAAATATTTTCTCTGTGCGCTTGCTGGAAAGATAGAAAGAGAGAAGTCACCTCCCAGGATATGGCCATGCCACAGTCCTTTCTCCTCTTGCTATTTTGGACACTCACACATACACACCTGGCAAGAGTTTTAGCCTCTGGGTCTGGGATTCGAACTGCAGTCAGTTATGTGGGAGACCAGTAATTGTAACTATTGCACCATCTGTTGGTCCCTATTTCCTGTTTTTCTTTTTCTGCTCGTTTTATTGCTTCCTGAGAGAGGATTTGTTTATTTTATTTCTTTGATTTTTGCAGTGGATAACAAACATAGAGTTATATCTTCTTGGTTGGTGATTTATTCTTTTACCATTATGGAATGCTCATTATTTCAGTAATGCTTTATGACTAAATAGTTTCCTTAATCTAACATTAGTAGAATTATACCTCTTTTATTTAAAGATTATTTTTGGACAGCTGCAGTTGGCAGTTTGCAGTCCTCCTGCCTTAGCCCCTATGTACCTGAAAGTACAGGTGCATGCCAACATTTCCAGCTTCTTAGAGGAGGTTGGGACTCAAACCTAACATTTCCTGTGACCTAATAGCAGTGTCAACCCGCTGGGCCTCCAGCATTTTTGTAAGCATTTGCCATTAAATATCTTATTCCATCTTTTTATAACTTTGTGGTGTGTTTACTGTTAAGTAGACTATAGTTAGGTTTTCTTTTTTTATAATCCAGTCTAGTAATCTTTTTTTTTTTTTTATAATTTGGAGTATATTTAGTCAGTTAACATTCAACATGATTACACTACTTATTACTATTTGTTTTCTGTGTGTTTTGCTCATTCTGTATTATTTGTCTCTCATTTCTTTTTATTAGATTAATGGATAAATTTTAAATCATATCGTGCCCCAATGAATTTCTTAGTCTTAATATCTTTCGTTTGTTTACATAGACATTACCACATGTATCTTTGGTAAATTTGTGTTATGCCAATTCCTGTTTATTCAGCTTTTACCTTTTATTCATTATTGCCATTTATGTATTTTAGTTCTACATATGTTTGCAACCCCCAAAAATATGAATATACTGTCCCTATTCATTTACATTTACCTATGTATTTATATTTTCTCTTGCTCTTGATATTCAAATACTTCTTTACATTCACATCTTTGCCTTGGGAATCATTTTCTTTTTGGCTTAAAAATTCCCTTTAGGATTTCTTTAGTATAGGTCTGCTGATGATAAATTACTGGCTTTTATTTGTCTAAAAATATATTATTAGATTTTAAAATGAAAAAAATATTGACATATACACACCCACAGAATTTTTATGTTTGTATGAACTTCTTTAACCAACATGTAGATCAAAATAAAGAGCATTTCCAGTATTTGAATAGGCTTCCATGTCCCCCTGTGTGATTAGCTACTTCATTTTTAGTCATCTGGCATAAGTCACCATAGATTTATTTTGCTTGCTTTAAGCTTTTTTAAAGAATTATTTAATTTTTATATATTCATTCATTTATTTTAATTTGACTAAAGGGAGACAGAGAGAGAGAAAGACAGACAGTGAGAAAACTACCAGGTCTGGGACTAGAACCATGGTCGGCCAGATGGTAATGTCCAGTGCCACACTACCTGCTGGTCCCGCTTGGTTTGAATTTTATGTTAAAAGAAGTATATAGTGTGTACTCTTATTTCTGGCCTCATTTCTCAGTGTTAGAGTTATGTGATTCATCCTTGTTTTTTCAGATAGATACACGGTGTTTCTTTGTGTTAACATATACTATAAGTTATTCTTACTAGTATTGGTCCATATTCAAGTTGTTTATGGTTTTTAGTTATGACTAATGCCATTATAAACATTCTTGTTCATGTCTTTTGGAGACTATAAGCACTCACTCTTGTTTGATACATATTTAGGAGTAGAATTGCTGGGTCATAATGCAGGCAACATTTAGCTTTAGCAATAACGCCAATGATTTCCCAAGTGGCTCCAGATTTATACTCTTCACCAACAATGTATGTAAGGACAAGTTTTTTGACTTTAGCAATTTTTTTGAGAATGAATAGTGGTATTGTGGTTTCATTTTGTATTTTCTGATAACTCTTAGAGTTGAGTACATTTTCGTATCACTTCACATTACTCGGATATTCTTTTTTGTGAAGTACACACTTTGGGAATGGGAGACTAAGAGCTGGGTGGATTAGTTGTCTGACTTAGTGGATAAAAGTCCTTTGTTGGGGATTGTGTGTGTGTGTGTGTGTGTGTGTGTTTGCACACCCGCATGTTTATGTATTTAAAAAAAAAACTATGGTTTGGCTTTCCTCTGTCTTTATAAAACTTATATTGAACAGAAGTTCTGAATTTGAATTAATTCAATTCTATTTTTCTTTATGAATAGTGCTTTTTGTGTTCCTTTCTTAAAATCTTTTCTAACCTCAAGGTCATAAATATATTTTGCAACAGTGATTTTGCAAGTTCTTTTCATAATCTTTCAAAAAATCTTTCACATTTAGATCTGTGATCTGTTTGATTATTGATTATTTTGTGCTTTCTGAGGTATAGAGAACAGTTTTATTTAGTCTTTGTGATTTCTTAGTATTATTTATTGTGAAGACTACCTTTTCCACATTTCATTGCAAAGGACATTTTTTTTTTTTTTTGCCATAGAGCATGTGCACAGGCTGGAGAGAGAGGCAGAGAAAGGGCAAGTGAGAAATCACCTTCTGGGGGAATGACTATTCCTCAGTCCCCTCTCCTCTATTCTCTTCTCAGGATTTTGGGCACGTATATACATATACCCAGTGTGATTTTAAAGCTACTGAATTCAGGACTTGAGTTGTGGTCCGTTGTGTGGGAATCCAGCACCTTACCCACCATACCACCTGCTGGCCTCAGAACTTCTGTTTTAAAGCAGGTGATTCTGTCTGTGTTTCTCATTATTATTATTTTTTTGTAGTTTTCAATGTAGAAATTTTGTTCATGTTTCATTAAATTTATTTAAGAGTCTTTGATGTTTGTTGAAGCAGTCGTCAGCCAGGAAACCCTGACTTTTCATTTCCAAAGGACCAGATAAAATGACAGAAAGTTGTACAATATTTTGGAGCTAGTTGACAGGTAATCTTTTTCAACTTAGCTCATTTCTTAATTAGGTTATTGATCTCAGGGTGGAACTGATTATTAGAACAAAGAAAGCATTTTCTATGCCTGACTTTTTTTTTTTAAAGAATCATTTATTAAATTTTATTTGTTGTTATTTTAAATTAGCTATAGGGCACATGCACTCACCAGAGAGAGACAGAGAGAGAAAGGTGGGGGAGAGTGAGAAAGCAAGCCAAGCTGCCAGGTCAGAGACTCTTAACTAGTTAT